AAATAAAAGATGTACCTGTGCAATACAATGAATAACATAGGGCTGAGCATGTCGGAGTTATAGCAAAAAACAGACGGATTGCACGAATCGACAAAACAAAAAATATGTTCCTGCTCTGGTTAGTAATTTTGAAAGCAAGTTAAACACAACATATTTTTTTTTCCGGGAATTCAAATACCATGTCATGTCAGCGAATAAATAAACGCATAATACGTGTACATGGCAATGTCTCTTCTTGTAGTAGTGGGATATGACAAATATTATTCAACACAGACGTCTAGCATTTGGTATTGGCCCAGATCACAAAACAATTATGAATGCATTGGTTTATGTATTACATCATATATTGTTTTGTGTTATGTTATGTTTTAAACGAAATCAAATTATGAATAAGAAATAACACCCGGCTCTGCTAATGTTATATGGAGTTATATTTATCAGACTTTGATCAAATGGACTTTATAATGAAATGACTTAAAAATATGTTAACTATGTGAACTTACTGCTAACAATAAGTCTCATAAAAGCGTTCTTCCCACTTTGTCTCTGTGATGTCGTTGTATAACATTCATACATTCCAGCATCTGATGGTTTAGCCGATGTAATAGTAATACTACTTTGTCCATTCCATGCTACTATATCCACACCATTATGTTTCCATTTAAATTGTGATTCTGTTATCGATGTTGATTGTGATGTCATTGTCAGTGTTACATCATCTCCCCAACTCACTGTCTTGGTTTGACTCTCTGGGTAAATGTCAGCTGTAAAGAATAAAAGGGAGATAATGTACGTGTATTATTTTCTACTTATTTTACAGCCCTACGTTTTCCTGTACAGTGAAGTAAATCTCGATTAGGTCTATGTGCTAATTTTGATCCAGAAATTACGCATGTACAAGATTGAAACTATACAGGAAGCCATATGAACAGCAGATTTCTTTGTGTAATATATTGATGTATATGAAATATATGATGTATAATATATTGATGTATGTGGAAATATTTCTACAGAGTAGTTGCGCATTGAATAGTTTATGCCATTTGCTCGTACACGCACGGAGTTCAATGTGGCTTTCTAATTATATATATGCCAATAAAACGGGCTACCGTATATGCTCTGAATACAACGAAAATAATTGCGGCATAACAATTGCTTAGTAATGACGTTTACATTTTTGTAATCTACATTGACTCATAGGAAGTAATAGAAAATGTAGCCTAAGAAGTCATACGAGTCGTCACTCCTGTTGCTTGTCACCCATTTGATCACATATCTTTATTGATACAATCTCATACATTGGATAAGCTTTCTATTCTGTTACAGTAAATCATGAAAAACAATAAAATGGTGCAAACTGCTGATGTTGAACTGTCGAACTGAATCGATTTCCACTGTATCAAATATGTTGAGACATCTTCAAAACATAGTGCTACTCAAAAGTATCCAGTGGCACGTGAATCACGATTGTCATCGCACACCGATGACGGTGCAATCAGCGTAAACATGTCGTGCGATTATTGTATGAAAATTTCATAAACAATACGAATATATGGTGCTGTAAAAATAAACGTTATAAGCATGTCACCCAACGGCAGCTGTTGTGTAGGTTTTGTCAAAGTGAATTAAATAATCAAGGAATCCGACCGCAAATTTACGAAATAATGATATAAATAGTATATTTAAAACGTACCAGTTCCAATCCGTAACATTTGAATAATTTGTAGCAAATTTATCCTAACCATCACATTGAAAACTAAGCTGCTCGCAACCTACAACAAAATATATACGTCGATGACGTCATCGCCGGATGTAGCAACACCTCAGAAGCCAAGAGTTAACTCTTATCTTGGAAACGGGTTAGTTAAATATACGCTCAATAAACCTCAACTCGATGTCATCTATAAGACAAAGTTCATCTAATAACGCCGGTATACTCAGTTTAAAGCAATCCGATTAAAGTATGATGTATTGTACAGCGTGATTTTTTTTATTAATATTTTGTAATTGTTTTTATTATCATCACGTACATGTTACTTTGAATTACTTTAAATATTGCCGCATTCATTTGAACATATGGATAATTTCAGTTGCAATGTTTTGGGAATTATAATTAGTATAATTTGTTTCCATCTTAGGTAATTATGCCCAGTGAACTGCAAACAAAAATGACACTTTCTCTCAGCTACACTTGACATTATATTCGCCAATAACGGAAAAATGTTTCGCCATGGTGGTTGTGGTGGTGTGAAATTTTTAAATAAAACCGGTAAACATAAAGCACAGTTTAATGACGAGAAACCAAATTGTCACCAATTTATTGGCACGACTCAAACTTCTGTCGCTGGTGAATGGTGCGAATTATCTGAAGTCAACTTAGTTTGGCGGGATAATTTATCTATATGACAGAAATCAACACATTGCGGGAAGTTTTTGTTTTTCACATTTTACCAGTTTGGGGTGCAAGTGAAAGTATTAATACAGCAGTCTATCTAAAATTGTTGCATACTTCATCATAGATGCACCACTTGCATTCTGCATTCAAAATAAATATATTCTTTATACCGAATTAATTTTGTGTCATCATTTCCCCTTTTTTTCCAAAATAAATTCATCGGGTATCGACAGAATGTAAAGCATATTTAGCAATGACGATTTAAATGATTCAAGTCTGACCATGTTTTTCGGCAACTTAAAAAATATGATCAAGAGCATGTTAGCTAAATTTAAAATAAAGTGTTCATTGCACTAGTGAATAACAGTAGCTGTAGCCCATGTGGTAATTCTGGAGCTTGTCATTAGCACAAACATGTGCAAATTGACGACAGAAAAATAATTTTAGCCTTCAAAGCCAATTGAATAAATTACCAGACTATATAACCACCTTTTTCTAGTATTTTCACGAGCCAACTTTTGCTTGAAATATTCTTCAAAATGAACTTGAACCCACGCCATGCAACACGATCTTTTTTTCAAAAATTGTATTGATTTTTTGTATTTCCTCCGGTGAGCGCGCTGTCGGCCAATATAAATGGCCAGTTGTTATTGGCAGTAGCTTAAACGAGATTAGAACGGGATTTTTATAGAAATCGAGGCAGATTCTTGTGCGCTCTCGTGATTACCAAAGCATTTAAAAGTACCTGCAGATAATAATAAATCTCCGGCACGTATTCAAGCTAAACTATGGATACAAACTATGCGGCTGTTCAACCATAATTGAGATAAGCTATTATCAAACTATTACTTGTATGGAAAAATATAATTGCCGAAAACCTACACTAAGTCACCAACATTGATATCTCCAGATGTTATTTCTTAAAGAACACCACCAATGTAGAAATATACGCCTTTTCAGATGACTTGGAAAAAGCATACGATGGTGCGATTATCAAACTGTCTGACGCTGTCATCGCCACACAACTATGCCAACGAAATCACTGTCTAATAAATACAAGATCACTAACCAAGTACTCTGGTCGGACTCGCGTCAAACTACCTTACATTGGGTACATGGGGAAAACTAGAAAACAAGTATTACCGAAGAACCAAGTTCTGGAAATCAATTTGTTCAAACACGAATACAAATATATCAAAACTATGGTGACATGGACCGAAATGAATAACCAAATGCGATACTTGGCCAAAATTCTACCTGTATGATATCTGCTAAGGAAATCAAAGTCCCAGCACTCTACGCTCCTTTCGTGGCATGAATCAGGTGGACAGAAAATAATGACCACAATTTCCCTCTTTAAAAATACTCTCAACAAAACCCTATAATAATACGCTTCGTGTGTTAGAAAATGTTATTATTGCTTAGCATCAATAACATTTAAATTATCTAATAATCTGTTCAAACTTAAATTATATAGATTAGATTATTATAGAGGTATGCTTTCAGACATTAACATATGCTCACCTTCTGATGCCACTAGAACAGTTTGTAACCTGAAACCTGAATGATCACAGTAGTATACACCAGGTAGATTAGAGCCTGCTTGGATGGTCATCCTCCTTCCATAATCACTATGGTCTACATAATATACATCACTTGGTAGTTCATCCCCTGTACCCGTATCTATTACTCTACCAAACGTGAATGAAGTTGTTGTATCAATACCAGCTGTGTATCCACTAATAACAGTATAGG